GGGATATATAATCTCATATTACTTTAAATAACTTCTGTGACCTACATTTTAAAAATCAAATGTTAAAGGTATATACTTTAACTCTCTTTAAGGAAAATTAAAGGAAATTGTATGTAAATTTCAGTAATAATCTTAAACTATAAAAATGCATCATAAAACTGTTTAGAGATGACATTTGAATGTTCCTTGCCGTGATTTCTCATTAAGAGCGGATTTTTTGGCAAACGTACAAACACGTACTTTCTGTTGACAGGTTCCAGCCAAAGTTAATAAAAACACGATATCAGCTATATCTGCCACTTCAAACTGCTAAAGCAAACATGGTATTTTAGCTAAACAAATGGAGCGGGATCTGTTTTCAGGGCACCTATGATCAACCCCTATTTTTTAGGCGTTGGTGTTGATTCTAGTTTATCTGTTTTGTGGACTTGTTTGCCCTCTTGCCGTCATATTTTTTTTTTGCCATGGTGTTGCTAATTTGTATTGGAAATTATTGAAATTGTCCCTAATTAATTGTAATTGAATAAAACAGGACCTGCAAAAATTTAGTACGGGCACCGGTTTATTGTTGAAGACTCTAGGCGTGTTTTTGGAGTTTTTGTCGTTGAGTTACGTTCCTTTTATTCACCCTTACATGTAAATGATTTTAAACTATGTTCAACTAATACAAATTTCATCATATTGTAAAAATTGGTGTAAACGGGAAAAATCGGATAAAAAATCTCTTGATTCTTATTTAAATAAATTTATGAATGTTGTGGATATTTGAATATCACATTTTGAAAATAATTCAGAAATAAAAGAGTAAATAATACGCCTATTTCTAAAATAAGAAACAAACTTCAAGTACTCGCAAAGCTACCAAACTACACAAAAAAACAGTAAAATATCGTTTCACCTCGGCCTCTAGTAAGTGTTCTACAACTAATATTTCAGTGCTTTTAACCAGTTCCTTAACTACTATCAAAGAACTTATCATTAACTTTTATAATAAAACATACGAAAATAGTGGAATTAACTATTTTTGGAGTGTAAAAAATTCTTTTGATGTTTTAGACATATTACGTGCTTTTGATGGTCCTTTTGATTCGGTTGACAGTTTTGACTTTTCAACTCTTTGCACTACTCTTCTACACAATCTTATCAAACAAAAGTTTTCCTATTTAGTTAAATGGTCGTTTGGTAAATCTGAATGCAAATATATTTGCTGCAACTCATTTAAAACATTCTTCTCTAATGAGAAAGGAAAATATGCTAATTGTATTGCTTTTTTGTTATTTAATGTTATTCAGGGTTATATCTGGTCTATATACCAGCTTTGATAAGTGTTTGGTATTACTATAATTTTTCACCTCGTACTATGAACATCAAAATTATTTATTTTGTAAAAATATTTCCTTTCTCTATTGGTACTGTAACCTGGTCCGCCATTCCATCTAAAGCTAAAGTGTAGCGATAAGTGAACACAACAGGGGTCCAGTTTATTGGTACTGTACACGTATACCTAATAACAAAATTATTTTCATTTACCTGTGTTTAAAGTTATTGCAAATGGCTGATATTTTTGTTCGAGCATATTGTTTTTCTTTAATTGTTTAACATTTCATACCGATATAACATGTTACTTTTATTATTCTTCCCTTAGTTTATTTATTTTGTATTTACATTGTATCATAGGTCAAATTTATTTGTTCAGTGTATGTTCAATGGTGTTAATATGACCTTTGATCGAGTTAAGCTATTTCAGTTGCTATTTTATAGTGTGTCTTTCTATGTTGTGATGTTACACTATTGTTTCAGAAAAAGGGTGAAGGTTTGGTACCATTTAAACTTTTAAACCCGCTGCATTTGTTTGCACCTGTCCTAAGTCAGGAATCTGATGTTCAGTAGTTGTCGTTTGTTGATGTGGTTCATAAGTGTTTCTCGTTTCTCGTTTTTTATATAGATTAGACCGTTGGTTTTCCCTTTATAGCTTGCTGTTCGGTGTGAGCCAAGGCTCCGTGTTGAAGACCGTACTGTGACCTATAATGGTTTACTTTTATAAATTTTGACTTGGACGGAGATTTGTCTCATTGGCACTCATACCACATTTTCTTATATCTATATATATACTTGGTGTTATGAGATGATTGAAGCGTTTCGGCAATAGTTTATTGACAGGTTGTAGGTATTCCTATGGGCACCAATTGCGCCCCTTTAATAGCAGACATGTTCTTGTATTGTTACGAATCACAGTTTATGACCAAACTCAGTAAAGACCCGTCTAAATTGCATTTAGTTGATCAATTCAATAACACTTAGCGTTATCTTGATGATATTTTTTCGTTAAATAATCAAGAATTTTCTAAATGTACTCCCGAAATTTACCAAAAGGAACGTTCTTTAAATAAATCTATGTAATAACTGTCCTTTCCTAGATTTAGATATTTCAGTTTTAACACGGGAAACTCCACACTAAAATTTACGACAAAAGGGACGATGTTACGTTCCCTATCGTTAATTTTCCTTTTTTGGACGGTGGTGTTCCTTTGGTACCATCTTACGGTGTTTATATATCACAATTCGTTCGCTATGCCCATGTCTGTTGTGGCGTTTTGGATTTCAATGAACGTAATCTATGTTTTACTATATATAAAGATTTGGTTTGGAAGTTTGGTTGTACCTGTAGAAAACTTATTTCAAACTGGATAGCACATCCTAATGTTTACGGAGATGTTTTTTACCGAACCCGGAAACTTAGATACGATCAGGGTAAACTTACCGATCCTATTAATAAATTTATTCTAAAGGGTTTCCAATTCAACACTATAATTAGATCTTTGAATATTGTTTTATTGGTATTAATATTGATTTTGTTATCAGTTAATCAAAATCAAACTAAATATTATTTTTATATACATATACACATTGATGGCTCTACAATCTGTCGATACCTGTATCTTGGCAAAGCACAATGTCATGTTTTTCTCTGACTGTTAATGACGTCTTTACACTAAATCCATTGGACGTTGGATGTGTACTGATTGATATTTTAGTCTTAGATACATGATATTTTTTATAAGTTGTTATTGGCTTTGAACTAGCTGTCAGTAACTGCGAGTACTCTCAGATCTGTACTTAGTGTCTTTTTTGTGTGGGGATGTATAAGTACCCTGCCACGTCCACTCTGTGTATTGCTAGATGTATTTCTGCTTTGTATCCATCTGATGAGTTAAGCACTTTTTAACTGATTTTTATAGTCTGTTCTTATATTGTACAGTTACACCACTGTCCCAGGTTAGGGGAGAGTTGGCGCCTTCAAACTAGTTTAACCCCGCCACATTCTGTATGTGCCTGTCCCGAGTCAGAAGCCTGTAATGCGATGGTTGTCGTTTATTGCTGTATATCATATTTTTTTACGTTCATTATTTTGTACATATATCAGGTCGTTAGTTTTTACGTTTGAATTGTTTTACATTTGTCATTTCGGGGCCTTTTACAACTGACTATTCGGTATTGGTTTTATTCATTGTTGAAAGCCGTATGATGACCTGTATTTGTTAATTTCTGTGTCATTTGGTCTCTTGTGGAGAATTGTCTCATTGGCAATCATACCACATCTTCTTCTTATTTTTACATTGAACCTATTTGACAAACTATTCGCATTTTCAAATAAACAGGTGAGATGGCAATAAAAACATTTGTAATTTTGTGGAGGACGAGATTCACTTCCTTCTAGAATGTTCCACAAAAAATAATATTTGATATATTTTGTACAAAATTAAAAGTGTATTTCCATAGTTGTCTAATTGCTGTGTTTGGAAAGAATAATGATGAAAGGGACAATAATCAATTATATATGTTTTATTTGCTTTGATTAAGATGTTCAATTTCGTTCTATTTTTAACATTCCTTGTATATAGGAGTTTTCCTTCTAGTCCGATATCTCATTAGTCCGACTGATAGTTCACTGACACTGAATCTTTGTATATCGTTTGTCCGACAAAGAAATATATACAACATAAGAACAAACTTGAAAAGGGTTTACTCATCAGATCGATACAATTCACACAACAAACCTAACAAAACAAAATGGATGCAAAGTACAGATCTGAGAGTACTCGCAGTTACTTACAGCTAGTTCAAAGCCAATAATAAGTAATAATGTATCCAAGTGTATTCAAAAAAAGCATTTGAAGTTGTATTATAATACTACGTATAAAAGATGATTAACAATAGATAAGGGTAAAGTTAACAGTTGAAACATGTCAGGTTTGTTTATAGACGTTATCGCCCTTAAAAAGTGAAAAAAATGTAAAATTTGAGGTGTTCAGTCAAAGATACAAATATAGTTGAAATTTAAACACAATTTTATGAAAACCAAAAGTCGAAAAGCTGAAATGTTCTTTTTAGAATTGTTTTGGTAGATTTTCGCTCTCTGTTAAGACGGAGAAATCCTTGTCCATTGTTCCACCCTACAATAAGACAATGGGCTTCAAGACTTAGTGAAGGCAAGATTCGCAACGACCTATTGATTCAGATTAACTTAGATCCTGAATGTTGTTTGAGCCTTTGAGCCAGATGAGTCGAAGACACATCTAGTTCAACCATAATTTCTGTAGTTGTAACAAATACACAAACGGAATATCAGACCATGGTCATTTAGAATACTGGATTCGATAATGACTCGATGCAATAAAGTGATTTCCTGGTCTTGTATATATTTTAGACTTCCAATTCATTCTTAATTTCCCATGGACATTGTGAACTGAATTAGTTTAGTCCTGATTGAGTATGACTGATCGTGCATACAGGCATTATATAGTTTATAGTTGTCTCTCATTGGCCAGTCATACCACACATATCTTTAGATTTTTATATTAATAATAAAATGAAAATCCATACAATAAATTTTCCTGTACAGTTATTTGTCAAAAACTGTAAATAAAGATTAAAAAAAAACACAGTAGATTTCAAATAATTATATACATTTATATAAATGAAAGAATGATAGGCTAGCAAAGACTAGATTAAAGCACAGGATAGATGAATGAGCTGAGTTATATATATATATACATACAATGAGAATTCAATGAAATAGCAATTATACACACACATTTATATCTAAAATGAATTACTGCGAAAGGTCAACAGAAAGAGCAAGAATAGTTCACTTTAGACATAACAGTTCTCTCCTTATTCAACAATATACACATTACAAAAGAAACATGTCATCCTTAAAGTTTGATTGGATGTCATTTATTACATCATACTGACATCAATTTAAGGCACGTGCTGTTCATCTGTAATACTTCCGGTTTGGAATTTCCGGGTCCTCCATTTCACATCTCGCGAACCATGCAGTGAGATTTCTGCTCCAAGTTAAATACCGGACTTCCTATGAAAATTAAAGGCGATTGACAATCGTTCAAATTCTTTGAATCAATAGCTAGTAGCCATTTTCCCAGAATCGTGCATTAACCCTAGAGCAGCAGAGTGTTCACGTGATTTCATCCTTAATGCCACGAGACTGTCATCAACTGCACACCTCTCCATAGATGATGGTACTGAAACAGTAGTATACAAACATAATTAAATTCGGTTATAGCCATAAGAAACATTTGTCAAAAATTCACTTGAGAACCTCATACAGAAGAACCATAATATCAGATAGAAACAAGACAATTATTTGACATTTATCGATATTAAAGTTAAATTATTAACATGAATCACTTCAACGAAACGTTTGAGACGTCTTTGGCAATGCTGAATAGAAACTATTGGTATGCGTTTGTTTTTTTAAATTCTAGATGATTCAGACGGCAGTTACGAAGTGGAAAGTTAAATATCTGGATTGGTTAATTGCACGCAAGTTTATTGTAGGCCTTACTGGCCAATATATTGCACAATTCTATATATTTCATTTGTGGAAATTAAAATATGTAACAATATTTTTTGAAACTGTTATATGACCAAAGTGAATATGAGTTAAAATACATGATGTGCTAATGCTTCACAACTTATATATGACAAGTTTTTACCTCCAGCTATGTGAGAATTGTAGTACTTGGACATGTCTGGGTATGGATGAGGATAATGACCGGTAGTCGCTGCATATGGAAGGGAGTTAACTGTTGACGTCACTGGACTGTTCCAACTGTTTGAAAATGTTTCTGCATTGCTGTGAGCGGCCATGCTGTTAACCTAAAAACATATTTAAATATTCAAATTGTTAAACAAAATGCTATTAAAATTTGGTACAAGACTTTAATTGTGTCCAGGGATTTTGTGGTTACACAAGATAACTTCAAGTAAAACATATAGCAACAAAACACGTTAATTTATGCACAGCTTGCTAACATTTTTATTTAATACCCATAACCTTTTTTTCCATAAAGCAGATATTGAGTTAAATGTCTTTTACATATGTAAAAAAAATAACGCTTGATCATTTACAATTAAAACCAATCATATATATATTATTGACAGCGCATTCACTTGCCTTCGGTTAAATATTATATCAACAAATGAAAGACATGCTAAAACTTAACCCCCTCTCCCCATAAAAAAAAGAATTAACCACGTTCTGAAATGTGTCTATACCACGTGGTCTATACAGATAACTTTTTACATTTTTTCATCATTCCGTTCACACACCTACCATGCAGTCAGCATTAAATACAGTATACGTATTGCAGTCAACAGCAAGTTGGGAATACATTATACAGTCGATAATTTCTAAAATGCAACATCTTACTATATTTATGTTCATAAAGTGTAATTTTGTGATGGCAAACTCCCATGAACTGTTTTCTTGAGTAATACATTCCATAAAGCGATAAAAAACAGTGCATATATACAATATATATTAAGTATGGTTATTATGGATTATATAAAATATTGAATAATTCAATATGTAATTTTGTACCTGTGAAGTATGAGACAGATATGAGTCCATGATGCCAGCATAGGAGGGTTCTCCAGGTTTGAGGGTCTGGCTGAGTGACTGTAGTGATTGAGCAACCGTATTCCTGTGCCATAGACTATCTATAATAATACACATAAATATAATAAATACAAATACACGCATGAGAAACTATATTCATACTGACGGTCTATATATAGGTTTTTATTGTGTGTTGTAATTATTGCGACATATGTATAGGGGTAGTGCGCACGTATAACTCGCTTAACATCACATATTCTGCCTCTTTTCAACATAACCTATTTTTCTAGATTCAGTCCAAATTGTTCGGCTCTTCATCTCGATGGATCTATCTTGCAATACCTACCTATTGTATTTGTTAATCTTTTCTCGTCCTGGATATGCATAAAATGTTTGACAATGGGCGTTAAGCAAGAAACAATCAATCAATAAATATGTACCAACAATTTGAATAGTTACCTTGAGCTGTTGGGATTGGATACGTCGATGGGTCATGGAGCATGTAAGAGTGGTTAGGCATTCCACCGGGAACTTGCAGTAGGCTGTTGAGGGCCGAGATCTGATTGCTGCCAACTTGTTTCCTCCATCTAGCCCTTCTATTGCTGAACCAGACTTGCACACGGGCTTCCGTCAACTTAGTACGTTGGGCTAACTCCTCACGCGTATATATATCCGGATAGTGAGTGCGTTCAAAAGCACGCTCTAATTCTTCCAATTGCTCCGCTGTGAAAGTAGTCCTACTACGTCGCTGTTTTCGCTTCAGATGTAACCCTGGTTCCGATTCACAATCAGATAACTCTGCAATAAACCAAAGAAATTTATGGAACTACTTAATGATATATAAAAATGTAAAAATGTGTTCCCATTGCATGTTGTTTACAAATATTAAATTCTATCACCTTGAAATGGAGACCTTGAGCATTGACAATGTATCATTTGTACATTTTTAAAATGAGTAATAATTCTGATATGTCTCATAAAAGATTTATGCATTTGACCTTCTAAATACAACAGTGCGATATCCACAAACGTTATTAATATTACTATTGTATGCACAAAGCATGAAGTTTCCATGCATTGAAAATAATTCTATTTTTTGTGCTTACATTTATTAATATACTGAAAGTATTGAAAGACCATAAATCTGTATTATATTTTCTAACTTTGACGGTAATGTCTTTACTTTAGGTTCTTTCAAGGTTCATCTATTTATTTTATTTTATTTGTTATAATTATATTACTAATTCTTCAAATGGGAAGAAACATATTTTTGTATATTCTTTTTGTTTTTACAGTTTAGGAAATAAGTTATTTGAGCAAAAGTTACTTATAGTGTTGCATTTTACAAATGAGTGTTTCGGTTGTGCACAATAGCTTACGCGATTTTGAGTATGTCAACGACTACCAGGGTGGTTTTTAACGACATTGACTGGCTGTTAAGCCCTCACACAGTCGGCATGTGTCAACGTGCATACCCTCAATATCGTGAAATATAAACAAATTAATATATTTTTATAAATAAAAAGCAAACGAAATTTCGATCAGAACGTGTATACTTTTGCAGTTTTCGAATAGAACCAGAAATCCTTTTTAAGGTATCATTTCATTTAATTGGTTAATGTGTTTTTGTTTGGTTTATTTTCAATGCAGAAACAACATTTTTTGCATATCAGGCCAAAAAATAATAACATATGAATATAAATGGAATGGTGCGGTAGGATTTTATTTTCGCGGAATAATATTATAAAATAATTTTAACCAAACTTCTTTGAATTTTATTTCCATTTAAGGAACATGATAACTAGGAGGACAATTCACCAGAACCTTTCTCGTTAACTTAATAATGATAACCTCTATGCGGTCAACCAGTCAAATACCGAAGGTTTTTATCTGGGAGAGCGATGATTTTTCTCAACCGTTTTCATACTTAGTATCCATCTACAGAGTGTTTACAAAACAATTCGTGCAGTGTTACGCACATTGTAGTACTATTCAAGGTTTGTTCTTCAATGTACCACGTTTATGACCAGGTTAATGAAACACACAGAAAATGTTTTGTAAAAAAAATCGATCGACAAATAACTTTTTGTTCAAAGACGAGATGAAAATTTTACTTAACTATCACAAAATCGAATATTAACAACCTGTTATCATTCTCTAAAGCAGAAATAATTGTGACATCAGTTTGAAATTAATAACTATTACATTTAATCACGGTGAAACTGATTACACTAGATGAAACTGATTAGATAGAATATATGATTAACGTGAAGATTCCATTTAATATGCTGTAAATAATTTCAATGTTTTTCTTCATTAGCAAAAGAACACTACCTCTTCTAATTTTTCGGTTAAATAAGTTCCATATTTCGTCTTATTAAGAGCTTACTTTTAATAATTCCGTATATTGAAGGAAATCTATATTAAAAGTGATTATTTTCTTGATCTAAAAGCATTTGAAATTGTAATTTGCCGTATCGGGGTCATTTAGGTCTACCCTAAAGAAAATGTTAAGATTAATCGGTTGAAGCGGAAGGATATCTGACGAGTCCCAGCGGGACACCGTCTATCATAGAAAAATAAAAAGTAGACCCAGCGTGAAAAAGTTCTTATTTGTATTGAAACACCGAGATTTCCAATTATTCACCACGAAATTGCTACCTTAATGGTGGAATTGACAAACAATCACTTTATACACTCACCAGTGCTTAGAAACGCCTGAATTCAAGGAAAGAATTAGCCACGCTGAGAGCGAGGCGGTACGTCACCGACAACAGTAAAACACGAAACGCTCAGATGGTGTTTTTTCTAGTGCATTAGTTTCACATCTTGCATCATATGTTGATATCCTTACAGAATAAATGATATCTGTTGATATCCTTAGAGAATTAATGATATCTGCTGATATCCTTACAGAATTAATGATTTCTGTTAATATCCTTACAGAATTAATGATATATGTTAATATCCTTACATAATTAATGATATCTGTTTTAAATCCTTACAGAATTAATGATATATGTTGATATCCTTACAGAATAAATGATATCTGTTAATATCCTAATAGAAATAATGATATATGTTGATATCCTTACATAATTAATGATTTCTGTTGATATCCTTACAGAATTAATGATATCTGTTGATATCCTTACAGAATTAATGATATTTGTTGATATCCTTACAGAATTAATGATATATGTTGATATCCTTACAGAATTAATGATATTTGTTAATATCCTTACAGAATTAATGATATATGTTGATATCCTTACAGAATTAATGATATTTGTTAATATCCTTACAGAATTAATGATATATGTTGATATCCTTACAGAATTAATGATATTTGTTAATATCCTTACAGAATTAATGATATATTACAGAATTAATGATATATGTTGATATCCTTACAGAATTAATGATATCTGTTAATATCCTTACAGAATTAATGATATTTGTTAATATCCTTACAGAATTAATGATATTTAGTACATATCATCCTACCTTTGAGTTTCCTTTGTAACATTGAAAAGAAATTATTTTTTAAAGGACGTAGGGCCAATGTCCCCTGAATATATTTCACACGAGGCCACTTATCAAAATTCTTTCCATCTTTACTAAAATTCACAGTAATCAGCTCGATGTGTGGTTTTTTCTTAAGATTCTACAAATATTTTGGCTAATTTCTAATTATAAATGCCTAAAGGAAGAGCAAAGTTCCCGGGACAGATTTTGGCAAATTAGAGTATTAAAGATTCATTTGTAAAAAAAACATTGGTTACCCAAACCATTATTATATCGTAGGTAAAGCTAAGAATTGCCTTTCATGTACATATCACTTTTTTATAGATATGTTCCCGTTTAGAACTAAAACTAAAGAGCTTATATTAATGCAAAGGATGAAACACAAGTGCGTCTGTACTGTTTTGTCCACAACAATGTACAATACTCCAATCTACATACTTTCTTTTGACAAACAAATAAGAATCCGTTTATCGCATAACAATCTGCGTGTGACATGCTTTCAGATGAAAAACATTTAAATGCAAATCTTTTCTTTGTTTTGTATAGTTTCTGTAAGTATGTAATTTTTATGTACTTTTATGCAGTATTTATTGGTTTGCTGCATAAATATAAATTCTCTTTAAATAAAAATGCCTACGAATTAGCAAGACAATGTTATAGAAAGTATAAGGTCTATTATATCATACGATTCATTGATTTGTGTTGTTAAGCGTGCAGCGGCAAACATTCCATGTATATTTTATTAGAAAATAAAATGCCCAATTTTACGTAAAAACCGCTTTTATTATAATTTTTTTTTTTTTGAAAGAGGGTCATCTTTACTTAGGAACCTATATATTCTTTTTAAAGCAGTTGATGTATCTATAAAATTATGGGAAGGAGTAGTTTTGTTTGCCAAACAAATTTATTCCTAAGTAATAGTGTTGTACCACTACATGTTTTCTAGGTATCAAATACTACCTTGAATGAATAATAACTTTTAATTTACATTTTTTAATTATCATTTTTCGTACATTTGGATAAAAAAAAAGCCTAAAGGAAAGTGTATTTATAAATAAATAATATAAAATTGTATGCGCATTTCCATAATTTCGTATCAGTTGTGCTCAAAATTTTAATAATAGAAATACTATATACTATGGTTTTGGTATTATTATTTTTTTTTACTTTTACCAGTAAAGTTATTTCCTTTAAGGTCAACATTGTATTTGAACGACGTGAAAAGAACAAATTTCGCTTTGTCGAATTTTAAGGTTACAATTCTGTCAGTTCAAAACACCATCAACTGGCATAATAAACTTGTTTTATAAATCTCTGTGTTGACAGCATGCCATGTTTCTGCTTTACAATGCAAGCTCTTTTGTGTTTAAGGTAAAATATTTAATTCTTAATGTTCCCATTTGCACGTATAATAGATGCTATCCACGGGGGAGAGACGGGAATAATATTGGATATAATTTTTTTGTAAAATAAAATTGAAATGAAATTGAGATGGAGAATTGGTCATTAAGTTATCCGTGACAATTTGATTACAAAACTGACCCTTGACAGTTCGATTCATTAAATCTCGTCAACCTAATGGGGATTAACGACCCAATTATCCTGAGAAACTGACCAATGCTAAATGAAATCATGCCGAGACAAATTTAACCTAAAAAGCATATATGAATTATAAACTTCGCCAATGGTAATTTTAAAAATCTGATTGACCGCAAACATCTAAATATATTAAGAAATATGAAATGCTATTTTGTTTAGCAAAGCCTAATGTGTCACAAGGCATGCATTTTTATTTTGCACGGTTTCACTTATTAAACATTGTAATTTGTATATAAAAAAAGATCATATTTCTTTTATCACTTGTTCGATTCTTGAAACAAAAAATTCTAGTTCACTTATCCCAATGGTACTTCTTTTCAGTTTTAATATCTTCATACTATTAATTTTCTTTAACCACAATGTTTATTAAATATGATATTTCATTTCAGGAAGAAAAGATTGAGAACTAATTAAATTAATTTGACTGCTGAATTCAAAATTTATTGACATACAAATGAATGAGATCCGAATTAATTTCAAAATCTTTTAGTTATTATGTTATTTCCTTCTTAAATCTTAAATAAACTTCATTTATTTAAATCATCGTTCACCATTATATTTTAATTACATTTTAGTTTTGTTGTATCTGAAATTATTTCCGCAACTTTTCCAACTTTAAATGTTATCTCTTATATTAATCCTCCAATTAACGTGTAAACAAAATTTGATGA